GCGAGCGAGCGTAGCGAGCGAGCAAAAAAATCACTTCTCTTTTATAGGGAAAATATGGTACATAAACTTTGGTTCATTGTTCCATGTCACGGACGTGATTATTAAAAGCAGTGTTATTTCTGTTTTGGCGAGCGAGCGTAGCGAGCGAGCAAAATTTTTGTAATGATAATTGGTTCATAAATTTCAGATTTTTTGTTGTTGCAGGGCAGGGCTTACACAATCATGTCTAAGGTGATGTTAATTCCGTTTTGGCGAGCACGAGCACACCAAAACTTCTTTGAATAACGTTTGGTACATAATTATTAACTGGTTGTTGCAGGTTGGGGCGGGCACGTTAGCGGTGTCAATTCCATTTTGGCGAGCGAGCATAGCGAGCAAGCAAAAAAAAATTCTCTTTTAATTAAGGCTGTGCACAACAGTGTAATGAGGTACCCGAGTACACTCCCATGCTTACAAGCGAATACTCGAGTATTCGGACGCCATGTTTTTTTTTTTTTTTTTTTTTTTTTTTTTTGAATTTTTTTTTTTTTTTGGATTTTTTTTTTTTTTTTTTTTTTTTTTTTTTTTTTTTTGCCACCACCATACATACCACTGGAGTTCTGTCGCCGAAAACGCATGCAATTTTACTTTGAGTTGCAGTTGAAGGCGCCGATTTAATAATAATAATAACAGTGAACAATGCTGTTTTAAAAACCAAAGATGGCAGAATAATCCATTTTCCTCCAAGTCCAAGCAGAAATCCAGACATTTGGTCCCAGTTTCTGAGTGGTGAGTTTGACAGTGCTTGAGTTGGGAAATATTTTTACCGACGGCACCATGCCAGCGGCCGCCGCTCAACCAGGCACGGGTAAGCGTCGGCCTGGACATTTTTTTTTTTTTTTTTAATTTAATTTTTTTTTTTTTTTTTTTTTTTTTTTTTTTGCGGCCGAATATTCGGGTACGAGAAATCGTACCCGAGTAGTTGTCAACCGTGCGGGTACTCGAGTATTCGACTACCCTGCACAGCTCTACTTTTAATAGAAATGAATAAATAAAATAGTTTTTATTGGTGCAGGTCAGAATGGACGCAATCGTGTTTAACGCGATTCAATTCCTTTTTGGCGAGAGGGCGTAAAAACTCTTCCATTTTTAATGATATTGTTGCAGGTCAAGGGTGGGCACAATTGTTTCCAAAGCAATATCTATTCATTTTATTCGCGAGCAAGTGTAGCGAGCGAGAAAAATGAATTACTCTCTTTTAGTAACATTTGGTACATACACTGTGTGTTATTGTTGCCATGGTTGCAGGTAGGGGCCCGTCGGGGCAGGCACAATTGTATTCTAGGCAATGCTAATCCTTTTCTTTTTTCAGGGGGACGAGCAAGTGAAAACATTTAATACAAAATAGGCTAGCAAGCAGTTCGCGCCAGCGAAGAGTTTCGAATTTGTTATATCACTTATATTTTCCTATTTTCATTTGTCTAAATTTTTCAGGGCCGTATGCGGAATATTTTTCTGGTGGGGGAGGGGGAAAGATGCGTTAAAAGTTTTCGAAGAATCTCAAAAGCAAAAGGAGTGAAGGGAGTTCGAGCGACCGAACTGGTCATGAGGGTACTTTTGCATTTTCAAAAGTAGAATTGAAGGATTTGGTATAGGCCTACACTACATTTTCAGGAAAAAAACTGTACGTTTTCAAAATATCTGGGGTCAACTGCCCCCCCCCCCTGGTGCGTACGGCCATGGTCTTTTTTTTTTTTAATTTCCCCATTTTTTTCCTTTCCTTTTCTTTTCCCTTTTTCTTCCTTTTCTCTTCTTCTTCCTTTTTTCTTTCCTTTTCCTTTTTTTCCTTTTTTCTCTTTCTTTCCTTTTTTTCTTCCCTTTTCTTTTTTTCTTTTTCTTTCCTTTCCTTTTTTTCTTTTCTTTCCCCTTTTTCTTTTTTTTCCCCTGGAGCCCGTCAGGGGGGGCACTCTGCCCCCCTGCCCCCCCCCCCATAGGTACGCCAGTGGTCTACAGTATATAAAAATAGAGCCCAAATTTCTCTGAAATGTAATTCCGTTACCATGGAATTGCCCAAATGCGTCCTAAAAAATGTGGACGATCCTTATTTTTGCGTGCATGTAACATCATGAGTTTGTGAGGGATGCCAGTAATTGTAGTTTCTAGATGAATTTCATTTGTACAGTGTATGCCATGTTAAACTCTTAATTTTATTAGATTTATTTTGAGAGCATAATAGAATACTACAACGTGCTTAATTTTGTTTTTTTATTTTTTTATTTTTCAGGGTATCTTCGGCTGCTGGAAAGTCATCAACGTGGACTGTGTGGCACTGGCATGCTTGTCTTCTGGTGTACATGCAGACATGCAGTCTTAATTTGTAAGACTGAATGTTCATCGGTATGGAATTCCTATATTAAATGGAAAGCATTTCAAAATGATGTAAATTATGCCGACCAACAAACATTCAGCAAGTACTTCCAGGTCGCCACGTCCTGTCATAATCACCTTGCGTTCGGTCGGAATGAATCTGAGAAATAAATCTTCAATACACATCTTTGTACCAAGGCAATCTCGACGAACATAAATTGAATTAACTTACAGCGTAATAAAATATTAACATATATCCTATATCTGTGTGTGAATATATCTTCATTACTTTATTTCTTTACACTTTTTGCCATGACAGCTCATTGCTGGTATAGTTGATGCCAGTATTGTGTAACACTTTATAGATGTGTATTCATGTATCTATAGCTTTTTTTTGGTATTCATTTAAATGCATCTGAAGACTATTCATGTTTGACAATTGACATCTTTTGACACTTGACAGATATACCATAGCTGCAAGTGCTATTAATTAACACTTTTAACATTGTTATGGATGTAAACTTATTTATGTATTGTATACCTTTAATTGCCTTCACATGTATTCATTCATATACATTTTTAAAGAATTAATTGTTGGACTGTTTATGTTCGTCGTTAGACTATTTCGATACTTTTACCTCCGATTTTGAAATTCCGGAGGTAATTAGGAGTAAAAGTACCATAAAATTCATCGAGGCCACTGTCCAATATTGGGAAAGTGTGATTTGGGACACATTTCAGGTTTTGTTTACCTGCCTCTCTGTGCGGTGGTATGGGAGCCGGTTAAGGCTCTCTGGAATACCATATCATTAAAAAACATTTCCAGAGAGCCTTAAGGCTAGTCTAGACCCTAGCAAAAACTATGAGCTAATGAAGCTAGGCATAAATAGTAACTTTCACAAGACCAAATATATATCAAATTTACTATACCCGAACTGTAACTCCGGGAAGCTCTAACAACTGCTGGGGCCCGTTCCTAGAAACCGTCATAAGTCTAACTTCTTGACTAAATCAGCGTTAGTGAGCAACTTGTCCGCTAGGTGTTTCACCAAGCCCTCTTTGCCAAGATCAATGACAACATCCTGACCAAGTAGTTATGACGCCTCTGACACCGTCATATCTCTGTCATAACTATTTAGTCGATGGGCAGCGCCATCACATGTCATTTATTGGGTAGACTATGGCTGGCAAAAAAGGACAATAAATCCTCCAACTATGATTTGTCTATACATTCACTTAAACAGTGAGTTATCGTTTTTTGTATTTGATAATCTTATGAAAATATGCCATGTTTGTATTTAAGGATTTTCCCACTTAAATAAACTGATTATACGCCTTTATTTCCACATTGTAAAATCGTCGAAGGGATATGTATTTTGCCACGGCAGGCAAGCCATAGTTTGAAGTGTATTCTTTAGTTTTCAGACCCATATTGCTTTCGAGATAAATTCAATCTTCAAATGTGTAAAATGTATAGACTAGTTTAAAACATGAGTTTTAACGTTTGGAATGTCAAAGTTTTGTCATTTGATTATTCAACTGACACCTAAAACATTGGACACAAACTTCATCACATCGTATTTTTCTAAGAATAATATATTGGTGTATTTTTATAAACTATCAAATGAAAATATCCGGTGGGCAGATCTACCCATCTCAAGAACAAAACTGATTCACTGCACCGGTCATGTAATGAAATAGACGGTACTCAGTCACAATTATATTTTACAAGTAGATCTAGGTCTAGACCCTACTTCTAATTGTATAATCTACACACATTTGGTAGTAGGCATCTCTTATTTCTTGGTATCACTTTCAATCTTTTTTAGGAACGAGCCCCTGCAGGCCAGCTCACTCCGGGAAGCTCCGACGCCGGCGCCGGTGTTGGAGCTTCCCCGAGTTACAGGCCAGCGAGCTGTAGGCCTATGGAAAATAGCTGTAGCCTATTTAGACCGAATTTTCCGTCTCTTTCGTTCGTTAGCCTCTTATTGGGGTAGGGTCGGCTCTCTCTTTAGAGACGGAAGCCGTTTATACACATGTCCTTGCTAACGCCACGGCCAGTTCTGGTCGTAGCGTTTTGCCCCCAAAATCCCCCAAAATGTCATTTTACCTCGAGCATGTTATATTGTAAATTAGGCCTAGGCTATAATAAATCAGTTCCACTTACCAACTTGACTGAAATAATCAGTTTAATAGTCCCTTTTTAGGAAATTATGGGTCAAAATCGAAATCCATTTTGAAATCTTTTTCAACATGGATTCCGATTTTGACCCATAATTTCCTAAAAAGGGACTATTAAACTGATTATTTCAGTCAAGTTGGTAAGTGGAACTGATTTATTATAGCCTAGGCCTAATTTACAATATAACATGCTCGAGGTAAAATGACATTTTGGGGGATTTTGGGGGCAAAACGCTACGACCAGAACTGGCCGTGGCGTTAGCAAGGACATGTGTATAAACGGCTTCCGTCTCTAAAGAGAGAGCCGACCCTACCCCAATAAGAGGCTAACGAACGAAAGAGACGGAAAATTCGGTCTATAGCCTATTAAAGTGAAAATGAAGGCGGTCATTATGGCTAAACCGTGGGGGTGTTAAAACAGCCCATTAGGCGATATTATTTTTACATCTGCAAAGGGAGTAGGGTCTACTTACAATTTTAACTTCATAGGTTGCACGACTCCTCTGGGCATCAATCTGACCACTTGAAATTATAATTTGAAGAAGTCTTCGATGGGAAAAAGGGGGTGATTCTGAGTCCCAGGTACGTCCTACTCCAACGATTCTTGCGTGTTACATGTTGCGCAGCGTCGATTCAAAATATGGCGAAGAAAAGGTACGCATGCGCGGTAGTGGCACAGCAAAAATGAATATTCATACTATAGAGCGCCAATCGCTCGAAATCGCTGAATATGCACGATTCGAACAAACAGAGCGGTGAATATAAACAAGCGCAGTGTGTGCATATTCAGCGATTTCGTACGGGGGGGGGGGGGGGGGGGTCTCGAAATTTGGAAATTTGACATTTTTCTTCGTTGGGGGGGGGGGGGGGGTAAGGTCGCCTTTTTTAGGTCAGCCTCAAAAAGGGGGGGGGGTCCTCAAAAATACCAAAGGGGGGGGTTCAACCCCCCAACCCCCCCCCCCCCCCCCCCCTGCGTACGCGCCTGCTTCTACAGCTTAATTTTTTTATTCTATTGGATGGGGAAAACTTCTAATCGTCATGCATTCAGTGAGTTTTTCAATAGTCCCTATTTCCAAGTTCCTCAATCTTTTGACGAAAGGACCTTGGCCCATTTTCCAAGAGTAACTTTCATATTGCCAACACGGTAATAAGACTTTTTTGGTAGGATGGTTAATTTTAGCTGCATGTAAATAATAATGATACTTACCAATAAGCCAGTTTACGGTTGCAGTCTGAGCATAAGCAGATAAAGGTCATTTGTACCAAAAAGGTAAAAAACACAGAGATGAATACATTATGCGCTCATGAAAGTTATGTAACATCATTCATTTTATGCACCAACGGTACATTCTAAGATACGCAGGTGGAAGTATTTTTTTCAAGAGGGCAAACAAAAAGTATTCATGAAGCACATCTAAGACGTTGGCAGTTATTATTCTAAGATGCTCAAAGTGGAACTTCTCCATGTGTAAAAGATCTGTGGATATTTGGGGTCATTTGTACCATGTGCTATCTGTAAACTCCCTTATAAACATATTCCTCATTAGTTGCAATGGCATTTCCCCGCATTCAACTTGTAAAGCTTGTAAAGAAGTTAGATGAAATCCTCCGGTAATAGTTTTAAGAGCCTGGAATTGTATGGTGTCTAATTACTCGCGCCAAGCTTCACTTCCATAATCTAACACAGAGCGGATTAAACCTTTATAAACATAGTGAAGTATTTCCGAGTTATTACCCCATTTGGTACCAGCAATACACCTCATAAGATTAAGTCTTTTTTTGCATCTTATTGAGATTTAATTTATATGTTTACTCCACGTCAATCTCGAGTCGAGCCATACTCCAAGGAATTTGTATTCTTTTTCTCATTGAATACTTTTACTATATAAAAATTATCTATAAATCAATATTTTTCTTTCTGCCGAATATACGGCTCTCGATTTGGAGGATAAGAGATGCATACCCCATCTGTCATACCATTTTTCAATTAAGCCTAGAGCCGCTTGTAACTTTTTTTGTACATGTGTCATATTTCTGTGCGAAAACTAAATACATAATTTATGTCATCAGCATACAATGATATTTCTACAGTATCCTGAATTTGTCTAAGATCATTGATCATGAAATTAAAAATTAAGGGGCTTATCACGCTCCCTTGGGGGAATTCCTATATTACATTTTTGTTGTTCTGATATGTAGTTTCCCACTCAAACATGATTCACTCTGTTAGACATGAATGCATAAATCCATTTTAAAATCTTACATGTGAAACCTTGATTACATAATTCGTAAACTATGCCTTGTCTCCATACTCTGTCGTATACGCCTTCTCTAGGTCAAGAAATATCACAACTGTATGTTCTTTATTTGCCATACCTTTTTGAATATCTGTTTCTAATTTAATTAAATTGTAAGATGTACTTCTATTCTTCATAAATCCCGATATCCTCTCTCTCGATATACCATGAGAGTCTGTTTTTCACAAGTCTCTCTATTAGTTTACACAGTGTTTGAAGCATCTTTTCCTTTTTTTAATATCGGAATTTGAATAGCCTCAGTCCATTAGCTAGGCAATATACCTCTATTCCACATTCAATTATATAGTTCTAAGATCATTTTGATAAATACTTCCGGAAGGTTGCTTATCATCTTGGAATGAATTCTATCCTTCCCTGGATCAGTGTTTTTTTTAATTCTAGTAGAGCACTATTAAGCTCACTAAGGCGGAAATCTTTATTTAATACATTTTCCTCGTGGTTTTGCATGTTATTTATCATTTCTAAAAGTTTTGTTTCACTTTCCTTTCTCTTGACTATTTCTTCTTTCCCTATATAGCTAAAACTAGAGGGTTTAAAACGTTCTAAAACATATTTGATTTTTCAGTTGCTGTTTTACCAATTACCTTTCCAGCTTCCATGATCAAATTCGGTATTGATGGGTTCATACTGTCTTTTTTGCATGTCTTTGATCTCTCTCCACACGGCACCAGTGTAAACGGTCCGATTGAACTTCCGACAATAATCTCTCCAATATTCATGTAGTGACCAAACTCGTTTTTACCTTTTCAAAACTTGGTTTTTCATTTTTAAACACCGTACAGCATATTGGGTGCAATTTAAACATTACGTGTCAGACCCGAAGCCTAATGACTTTAGTGGTCACATGGATCTGGTGTACTTACGTTAAGGACAAAGTAGTCCCTTGATTATTTATCTATAAATTGTTTGTAGGTAAAGTTAATGTACCATAATGAAATTATGATACTTTCTCATGTATGTTTTATTGTTCTTTTTCTAAAATTGATTATCATACATAGTCCAGAAGGATGTGCATTCATGCTCAAAAAGTAGTCCTTCCGGACGTGCGCTATGTCAGGCAAGGCCCTAATGGCCATTTTTTTTTTTATAACGGACATTCGTCCACTTGCATGAGATGTTAAGGACGACACAAATGGCCGGTAGTACGTTTCACTCTACATCATCCGACACGTATAGGTATAAAGCCGTCAATGTACTAGCCTGTTTGTGTTACACCATTTATATAGGTATGTATAGATAATTTGATGCTATTGAGTTTTACTTTGCTACCAGTGTTTATGATGTCGTAATATACAAGTCGGTTCAATAATTGTATATTATGTAATGAGATGTTTTGTCCACTAGCTGTACGGTCACTATGAATATGACGGTAGACAAAGGAACATCCCTTCAATGCTATTATGTAAAAAGGTGATTATGCATGTGACACCTGTTCTACACATTTTTACATAATAGCAGTGAAGTGATGTTCCTTTGTCTACCTGAGGAACTGTATATTTTGTCCGCTTTCTTTGTCAGTCATATTCATAGTGAGTGGAAACAGGGCCCTGGGAACGATTTTTTTCACCGGGGCTGCTGAGATATATACGTAAATCGGGCCGAAATTTTCGCAACGACTCAGCCAGCCGTTGAATAAGCGGGGGGGGGGGGGGGGTAAGAGGACATATTTTTTCGGGGGAGGGGTAAGGTCTGTCATTTTGGGTCACCTATTACCCCAAAAAAAATTTATTATTAAAAAAAAAAAAAAAACAAGAAAAATCAAACATATAATGATATACATGTATATTAAATATATCATACCAAAAAAAATTGCAGGGGGTGCTGTGCCCCCCCCCCCGGTGAAAAAAATCGTTCCCAGCACCCCCGCTTCCCAGGGCCATGGGTGGAAACGTACCGAGGCATGTTAAATATATTCTTCTGTTGAGTTTTTACGGGATTGATGAGTAGTCTGTAAGTATCAGACTCGGTTTATATATAATGCGGATTTTACAACAAGTACTGATTTAAATGAAAATTATGTTTACGACAGGCTTGGCGGTGACACGACATTTGCTCCTGCGACAATTGCTCCGGGCTTTATTTCGTCTAAGATGTAGGGTTAGGGTTAGGGTTTCAATAGGGTTTTGTGTTAGGTTTAGGGTTAGGTTTAGGGTAGGGTATAGTGTTGAATCCAGGGTTGAAGTTAGCCATTCGATTAGTGTATGAAATTTACAGCGGAGCAATTGTCGCCGGAGCAAATGTCATGGAATCCATGGAATCGGCTTGGCTCCTGTAACCGTGCCATTGCATTTTTTTAATGTATTTTAACTCTGAAGAAACACGCCGATGGTTCATACAATTGTTCTTCAAGTCAATCATGCTGTCTTTATTTTAGTTACACTTTCTAAAGAGCCATGTTTTTCTTGCGGGTATTTCACAGCATGTTCTTACTCAAATTGCAACACGTGTATTCTGTTGATGATGATGACATTCCTCATTCAATAATTCGCGGTTTAAATTGTGTTTTTATCACGATGACCCACCTGCATGGCATCCCCAACAAATTATTTCCATTGTATATGTTGTATTTTCAACTAACAAATCGGCTCGGGTAATCAGGTAATGCTTTTCGATTATGCAGATCACATATATATTTCCCGCTATCCTTTTGTTTATTGTTATGTTACTCGAATTTGTTATTCTGTTCAATAAATAGCATTGTAAATGAGTTTGTGTCACACTGATTGACTTGTCTTATCCAGTCACAACATTACAGCTGTATCTTTAACTTCGTTGTAACCAATTGATGTGCCATGCAATCGGGTAATACAATCATTCAATCGTCCTTTTTTTTTCTTCTCTGTTATAAAAGTCTTCAAAAGGACCATGCATATTATGTGGTACCAAGAGCACCGGGGGGCTCCGGGCGGGCGATGGGTTGGGGGAGGGGTATGTCATTGAACAATACTATGCCCCTCTGCACGTGGTCCGCGCGGGGTGTTCCGGCGCCTATAACTATGCCTGATGTTTCAATTCACTTGTTAAATTTCTTGTACATTCTTTTCTCGATTCTTGAATTATTCATGTATTGAAATACTGCCAATGCAAATTGAGTTTTGTCACCACGATTGATTGGCCTCATCAACCATAGCATTACAATATTTTTTTTCTGTATTAAATTGCAACCCGTGCATGATTCTCACAACATTTTTAATTTGTAATACAATACTTAGTCCATTGTTTTCCTTGTTTAATTACAATATCTGAAAAGAACCATGCTTCTAATTCTTGATAATTCTTATGACATGTATCGCAAACTGTTTATCAATCTT